GCAGGGGGTGGTCGGCAGGGGGGCGGGCCGGGCACGGGCCACGGGCCGTAGGTTACTGACCCATGTTTTAGATAAATGCATGTCAAGAAGGATTGTTCCATTTTCTGCAAAGTTTCTAAAATAATGACAAGGTCAGCATACATTTGGCTGGCATCCTGTTTGGCAGTTATGATATCGTAAGCTGGACTATCCTGTTAGAGATTCACATGAATGATGAAATGTCACACCACAAACTTACCTTCACTGGCTGGCAGCACTCCAACCAAAGTGATTCATATGCACCACAGTGTGCTTCCCATTGTAAGGTGCATCAGGCAAGCAGTTGTGGAAGGACTCCCACCCTCTTGTTTTCAAGGTACCTTGCAATTGGGAGAGTGCTGTGAATGCCATTTCTTGCAATTGGGAGAGTGCTGTGAATGCCATTTCCCAGTTCTCCGTTTACCAGTGCCTCAGAAACCATGTTGGTTGGAGTACTGCCAGCTTGTGAAGGTAGTTTTTTGGGGGACAGGAGAGTCATCATCAAATGTATCTAGTGATGATAGAGTTTTGTCATTGTAGTTAACAATTTGATTCTGTAGTTTTTTGTGGGTTTTCGGGCTGTGTGGCCATGTTCTAGAAGAATTTGATTCTGTATTTCTGCATGGCAGGGGGTTGGATTCAATGCCCCTTGTGGTCTATTTGAACTCTAGGATTCTAATATTCTAATGATGATGCAGAATCTGAGCCATTTATTTTTTAATTTCTTTATAACTTTGTAGAAATTCAAGGTTATAAACAGGAGCAATAATTCAGAATATATACAACAAATAAATAACCCAATGGGGGAAAGAGTGGGAAGAACAAAATGGATGATAGGGTATCATGAGATTTGCTCCTCCCATCTGGCAATTTGTTAAACAAGGAGAGTCCCAGGTAGAGCCAAAGTTTTCGAAAGTTTTCAAAATCGATTGGTCCAGAATTTTACATATTCTTTGTGCGGCCCTCGTTGTTTTGTTTCATAAACAGTGGACATAATAAAAAGCTATGAAACATATGTAAATTTGTCTCTGTTTACTTGACCTTTAGAAGCTTTTATCTGGTAAGATAATTTTTCAGATTGTGTTACAGACCACATTCTGTTCATCCATCCTTGAAGAAAGACCTTCACTGGACATTTCCACTGTTCAGCAGTCTCAATTTGTGCTGCTGTGATGAGAAGAGACAGAAGATCCTTCAGTGAGAGAGATGAATTTGGACCCTTAATTATTCAAAGGAGCAGAAGAACATCACAGGTTTTTGGTTTACAATATTAAACAAGACAAGTACTTTGTCCTAGAGGCTTTTCACTTTATCACAATATAACCACAATTGCAATAACAAACCTTTTCTATTACTCCCTCTCCGACATGTTGGAGGTACAGAACTCACCACTTTAGATAGTTTAATAGGTGGTCAGCACTCATTTATTATCTATTAAAATCAGCACTTACGCATTACATATAAACTATTTCATACTAAATTAGACATGCCTAGGTTTAATAAGAAATATTCTTGTAGTTTTATCATAAATATTCCATATAAAGAAAGTCAGCACATGCTTCATGCCTTCCAACTGTCTCACGTTGGCTGGGATGGCTATGGTTAATCGTCTTCCATCCCACTTTTTCAGCTATATTTAAAATGTCCCAGTTTCTCTCTCCTTCTCCCACTTTCCCTCTGGGTCCTTAGCTTACTTCAGTTGCTGAAAACTGAATTCAAAGTGCAAAGGTTGTTTGCATTCAATTAAATAAACAGGAGGGGCTGGCTTGTTGGCATTCCCAGTAGGTTCAGACAAAAGCAAACCGTTGCACTCTCTCCTAGCATTAGAATAGAGCATCCTGTGCTGTCAGATTCCACACTGCTTCTTGAAGTAAGCAAGATGAATGAATGCACTTTGTAAAAAACAAAAGTGAAAGAAGGGGAGTACTCTAGAGTACTCTGCCAATTATGAGAGGCTTGAACTGGGAGGGCAAGCCCTTGAACTCAATCACCAGTTGTATTATCAAAGACAACCCTTAAATGACAGACAACAATCTCTTTCCCCAATATATATATGTAGATCTCTCTCTCTCTCTCTCTCATTTTTTCCTCTCTCTCTGTATATATATATCAGCTGTACCCCAGTAGAGATCTCAGAAGATCTGAGATGGTGATTTGAACCAGAAAAATAGCACAGACTGAGAGTTCAATGCACCTTCCTCCAGTCTCACTATTCCACCCAAACATGGAATTACTCACCCAATTCCAACTGCTTTAAAGTTAAAACAAAACCTCTGGAGATTTTATCGTAGATTGCCCACACCTTGTCTGCTTTGGCCCTAGGCCCAGCTAATCCTATCAATATAGGAAATTTCATTCAGTGATCCATGACATACCCTTCTGTCCTGGAAACAAAGGCAGGCAGGGTTGCCCCTCCCAAAGTCTTGATCTTGCATCAGGAGGAAATCAGCTTTAAATTCAAAAGGAAGAAAATACTTCCAATAGATGCACACACACACACACACAGAGGCACAAACAGTAGAAAAAATTCAAGATTCCTTAGGCAAATGTCTTTTGACATTCCCTGAGAAAGGATGATTTACATGGTTCAAATCATCCTTGTTTTCAAGGTGTTTCAGAGGGTTTCAGGATTTGGAGCAGGCACACTGCTCCCAGAAACTTGCTGAGCAGAGGGGAGACTAGGAAACTCATATTTACCTGGTTGCAGCTACAAACCATCACTTGAATTCCCTAGTCCTTTAATGGAAAATTTCTCTGGAAATGTTACCAGCTGTTTTAGGTTAAAAAGGGAGAATGTAAATAAATAAAACACAAGCAGAAATAATAGTCCATATGGAGTAAAGATGGCCTTTCCCCACTTTAAGTGTTGTTGGGTCAATTCAAACAAATAGCTAGCACGTATAGGGGTAAAGTCAGAAAAGCTA